ATAATTATTTTAAGGTCCTAATAATGTTACTATAATTAATTAGAAGCTATATTAAAAATAGCGTAGGCGTAGCTTACTTACATCGGGTTTTTCGCAAAACCGGGCTTTGCTGGAGCAGCGTTTCCGAGCCGAAAGACCCTTTTTCTCGGGACTTCGGGAGCCTCGGGGCTTCCTTCGGGTGCTAGGGAGGTTCCCTAGGCTTTTTGGGGGGTTTGGGGGGGGGGGGTTAGAGAGAGAGTGTAGAGAGAGAAAGAAGAGGGTTGAGGGGTGAGGAAATGAGGGAACCCGACACCTCTATTTATAGGGTGAAATCCTGACGGACTTGCCGAGTCGGTTCACGGCTCGCCGAGTCGGTGCCACGTGTCATCACCTGATGGCTTTTCTTGGGGAGAAAGCCTTGGCCCATATTAAGCCACGTCACCCTTTTTTACAGCAGCACCCTGCCGACTTCTAAACCCCGTAAATTTCGCATACGAGCTCCGTTTTCTTCGTTATAACTCGGATTTCGGCGTTCTTTATGTGTACGGAACCCTTGAGACATATTTTACAACTTAGTTAAGATTATTTATTCTAAATAATCTTTTGACGAAAAGTCGTTTTCGACTCCTATTATCTCTAATTTGACTAGCCCGGATCTACGGGCGTTACAATTAGCAGCCAGAGGATTATCAGCAGAGTTCAGCAGGAACGGGTCTACGGCCACAATGCCGGCCCGTTTAGATAGCAGTAGTTCCGGACTTTGGTCTGATGCAGTAGTTCAGTATGCTTGATGTCTTTGTGATTCAGGCATGTTTATGTGTTAGTTAGTCCGGACCTCGGTCCGATGCAGTATGCAGTATATGTGCTTATGTTATATGCTATGATCATGTTATGCTATGTCCAGTTAGTCCGGACTTCGGTCCGATGCAGGGGGCAAGGCCCCAGTTAGTCCGGACTTCGGTCCGATGCAGTGGGCAAGGCCCAGTATGTGCTTTATATGTTATTGAATGGTATGTGGTAGTTTGGGGGAGCTCACTAAGCTTCGTGCTTACAGTTTTCAGTTTTGGTTTCAGGTACTCAGTTTTCAAAAGAGGAGCTCGGGAAGATTGCAGTGTACACACCATTTGTTCAGCCTGGGATGTTTACTCTGACAATTAAACAAGTGTTTTGGAAATGAAACTATGATTTGTCATATAAACCCTTTTAGTATGTTTGAATGTCTTAACGCTATGAATTAGTAATGTTTTTAAAAGAAATTTTCAGACTGTGTTTTTGGGATGTTACAAAAAGCTCCCTAAGATGATGTGGATGTTGGATCTAGAAGCTCAACCATGTCTAAGGCTTGCACCACAAGTTCTTCTTCTTGCAAACACACCAAAAGTGGCTCCCTTTTGTTACTTTAAGCTCAAAATCACCTCTAATGGCAACTTAGGGTTTTTAGGGACGTTCAAAGGTGAGGAGGCTGATTAAGCTGAGGGTCCAAAGGCCATAAATGAGTTTAAATAGGGGACAAGTCTGAAGATTAGGGTTTTAGTCACAGGCCACGTACGCCTTGCGTACATGCTCGTAGGCCCCGCGTACGAGGCTCAGCTGCCCGATCAAACGCGCCCCTGTACGCTAAGCGTACATGCATGTACGCCCAACGTATGAGGGGGTCTTCTTTGCCAAATTAATTTTCAAAAAAACTTAAAAAGGGAAATATTTGAATTCGGATGTTACAGAAAAGAAGCAAAATGAAAGGAAAACAAAATTTCTTTTGTGTTCCCGAGTTGAAGAGAAGTGAAAGAAAAATTAATTATTTTGTTATTTCTTTCCAAATCCTCCCAAATCGGAAAGAAGGTTAGGAGAGAAAGTGATCATTCCATTTCTCTCAACTTCCTTCCTTTAATGAAACTCGGGAGCACCAAATTTTTTTATTTTCTTCTCATTTCCACCATTTTTCTTTCTTTTCTCTCGTTAAGTTGAACTCGGGAACGGGATGTTAGTGGAAACTATTAAGATGATAAGTATGAAGGTGAAAGTGATGATAATAACGATGAAGATGAGAGTTTTTATACATTTCAATATGAAAATTAATACACTGAAAAATAAAATGTTGATGAAGTGAAACAATTTTGACGTAAAAATTGAAGTGTCGAAAGATTTAACTACTTGTTACATGGATGATAAAGAAATAAGTTTGGAAGGTAATTCAGTCGAATGATGGATAGGGCGAATGATGGATAGGGATAAGTGTACGCATGGATTCCCTCATTGTTTCACATCTAGTGGTTCGTTAGCAGCACCTCAAAACGTTAATGTGGTGCCAGATGCAAGTGAACGATTTGGCTCGGATTTCCATAAGCTACTTGTCAATGTTTTTTTTATTATTTCGTTCTTCTAACGTAGTTACTTTCTCTTCCGCTTGGTGAGTATAACTTTATGTGGTCAAATAAGTAGCTAAATGACTTAAATCTTTCGACACTTCAATTTTACGATATCTAGTTGAATGGATCGAGATAGTCATGATTTTTAATCCCCTCGAAACCCGAACCTATTAAGGTATGGGATGGCCGGGTTCGGGTTAGTCGGGTTAAAATGGAAGATGAAATAATGTTGTACCATTTTAGTAAATAAGGTATTTCTCTAGGTACTTAATTTGTAAAGTGGTAATTTTATTTATTTATTTATGAAATTGACTTTGATGGGAACTACAATACGTATAATACAGTAACTAGACAATTCACTTTCTTTTTCCATTTTCTTTTCGGCGCCATGTACCCATATACAATTAAAGTTCTTAATTTCATACACATACACATCAGTTGGGCTTATTGACCAAAAATCATAGAAGTAGAAAATAGATTGTTTCATATTTGTTGGGCTTATTGACTAAAGAAGCTATTCCATAGTCATCATCAGGTTTACAATCCAAGATGCTAAAATCAGCGATCGATTTGCCAATCTTATTTATAATATCATGTATACCTTTTGCAATTTGCATATACCACCGATCGATTTGCCAATTAAAATGAAACCGTGGTTGGCCTATCTTCTCCAATTCCTAATTTACGGAATATTGATAATGACATCAAGTTGATACATGCTCCCAAGTTACACAATCCTATCTTGTCAAAATTTCCAATTTTGCAAGGTAGAATGAAACTATATGGATCATCTTTCTTTACAAGTAACTTATTTTTGGATCATCAGTGTATACCTCTTGGTCATGGCATTCATCTTAAATTCTTTAATGAATCTTTTTCTTTGTGAGAACAATTTTCATGAAACCTCTGTTTCAACATTCCAACAAAAAGAATGTTGCTAGTGAGTTAAGGGAGTATCTCAAGAAACTTTTTGAATTGCCCAACTTTGGACTTACTTTGCCAAGGTGGAAAAGACAGCATTACGCATGTTACTCCAACACTAGTCCGGTTTTTTTTTTTTTTTTTTTTTTTTTAATTTGACTTTCTTGTGATTTACAACACCAAAACTTGGTATTGTTGGTCCTAACTCTTTTTTCTATACATACTCTCGCTCAATTATGTCTTTTATATCAATGTATTCCTTCTCAACACCCCTTAGCTAAAAAAATATCACACCAATAGTTTCATTCAAAACCTACTTCTTCTTATCAACTCCAACACCTACCAATGATCCACATTGGTAAGTAATAATACTGAATTCTCTTTAATCAATGCCTTGCCTGATCTAAGCGTGATGACATTGCATTTCGTCTTATCATTGCCATTACCTAGATTTTGGGTGTTACTTGGCAACACTCCAAACCTCCGTCTTTTGATCGTGTTTAATCATTGACTGCATCATTATCTTTTTTAAATTAGTCATCTCTTGATTTGATGAAGTAGTCGATGGTTTCAAACTACAACATGATGCCTGATGCCCGGTGGAATGCACCTCCTTATGGTCCCACATTCCGATTTGGCATTTGATAAAACCTCGATGGGTTTTGAAACCGTTGCTAATATTGTTCTTGTTGAGGTTGTGTATGTTGTTGCTGCTTTCCACCCATGAAAACTTGGGATGACTTCTCTATATTGAATTGGATATTTCCGAGTACGATTTGTTGTGGGAAATGTTTTCCCACTCCAAACTATTTGTAATCATGCGCAATTTGACAAAACGCACAAAAACTCACATCAATATTCTTTTCCTTTTCCCCGACATCATATTCTTCACCATGCTCTTGATCGTGGCTAACTCGGCTGCCAACACATCATTTGGAGTGGCAAGACAAGCCTCAGATTTGCACCTTCAACTTGTGCCCTCTCCATGGACCATTGCAAATTATTGGTTACTATTCTATCCAATATTTCCACACTTTCCTCATAACATTTGTTAAGCAAAGATTCCCCGGATTGCATATCTACCAACATTTGTGTTTGAGCATCTGAGCCTTAGTATCAATGAGTTGATTTGTTAGACATTTTCTCAATAAGTTGTTCCATCTCTCTTTCTCACACTTCCTATAACAGCTCACAATCCATTACCTAAATGATAAGATAGAGTTTCTTATATTTGAATTTCTAGTTGGTGGGAAAAATCTTGTTAGGAAAATTTCTATTAATTCCTCCCAATTTGCCTTTTTAGTAGGTGGGAAAAATCTTTGTTTGAAATTATCACATCTGGTTAAAGTATCGCAAATGGTACAAAGATTCATCAATAAATGTTCTACTAAAACGACCATTATTATTGATCATTTGGAACATCACAAGTTTGAATTCAAAATTGTCAGTATTAATCGCGCCTTGACAATCAATCGGTGAATTAATCTCTTCAATATTCAAAATTAACACCTCCATGAACAATTTGCTCCAATTTTTTTTTTTTTTTTTTTAACTTAATGGTCTTTTGACCTACCTATGATCATATTGGCCTAGCTCACCGATGAGAAGTTAAAACCATTACAAAAGTTTTTATAATAACTCATAACAAAACAATCCTAGTTCTAACAACACATTAATAACCTATTATTCAACTTAAAACTATAACAAAAGTTAATACAATAACTAGAAATTCATGGGCAAGACAAGAGCCACAAAATGAAACATGGTTCAGAAAACAAAAACAAAATGCATTTAGGTTTTACAATATATTTGTCCCAAATACAAAATTTTGTCATTGATCGATACCGAGCCTTGTGATCCAAAAATCTAGTTGAGCAGCCACACATTCAGAACCCGTGGAGCCATAAGAAGTAAACTTGTTGATGGAATTTTGAACCCCAAGATACTCATACACATCCATCTCAAATACTGTGTTAATTGTACGCAACTCATCAAGACTCAGCTCTTGAAGCTCACACTTTTTGTATACACATAATGCAACTGCCCTTCCAACTATGTCATGTGATGTCCGAAAAGGTATTCCCTGCATAAAAAAAATCAATCCACTTTCTTCTATTACATCAGAAGACTATGATTGATTATAAAACTTGCCTTGTGAACAAGATAATCTGCAAGTGTGGTGGCATCTAGATGTCCAGCTGGCAAAGCCTTGTTTATTCTTTCTTTATTGTAGGTGATGTTGTTTGCAAACTCCGATGATACTTCCAACATTCCCATAATTGTTTTCACACTGTCAAATACCGGTTCCTTGTCTTCCTACAAACAAATTCAAATCATACATGACATGACATGACAATAAGAAGTACATGAAGTTTAAGGGATTTATAATAATAATAATAATAATAATAATAATAATAATAATCATAATACCTGTAGATCACGGTTGTAAGCGAGTGGAAGACCTTTGCATAAAACTTGAAGGGTGACAAGGTCACCTAAAACCCTAGCAGATTTCCCACGAACAAGTTCCATTGGATCAGGGTTTTTCTTCTGAGGCATAATGCTGCTACCTGTTGAAACAGAATCACTAGGAGTAATGAACCCAAATTCCTCTGATGCCCATAACACCCATTCTTCACCAAGCCGAGATAAATGCATTGCTATAATCGCATTAGCAGAAAGAAGCTCCAAAACAAAATCACGATCTGAAACTGCATCCATACTGTTTGTTTTATGTTTTAAAACAAACAAACATAAGTACACATTATTATTATTATGAATAATAAATAATATGGAATTCATATTCATAAACATACCTGTTCCTCATTGGAGCAGTGAATCCTAGAGCATCAGAGGTCATGAATCTGTCTATGGGAAGACCAGTGCCAGCTAATGCACATGCTCCTAAAGGGCAGAAATTTACCCTAACTCTGCAATCCAATAAACGCCCAGCATCACGATCAAGCTACACAAATACAACAAGGTGTTTTAAAGTTTAACCATGGTTAAGTTAGTTTATGCAATATGATAAAAGTACATAAAGAATATGAAACCTGTTCAACATATGCTAAGAGATGATGTTGAAGTAGAACTGGTTGTGCCCTTTGCAAATGTGTATAACCAGGGACAATCACTCCCTCATTCGTCTTAGCCAACTTTACCATTGCAATCTGTAGTGATTAACCAAATACTTATTAGTCATTTCTAGGGCTACTTTTCATGATGAGGAAGAGGAGGGCATTCATGTCTTTTGCATATATGAGAGATCGAGAGTGAAACCGTGTTCCATCTTTTTGGATGGGACAAAAAGTTATAACTTTTGTCTGTTTTGACATCACTCCCATACCTAGTCCAATGAAAGGATTAAGGGCAACTAGATATGCACAACAGTTACTTTATGCCATAATCAGGGGAGTAGTCAAGTAGCAACCTGAAAATGTTTAATGCGTGCAACAATCATATCAATGGCATCACGACACCACAAGCGAAAATCAGTTGAAACTTGATCATTTCGACTCCTGGCTGTATGCAGTTTCTTGGCAGGTTCACCAATCAAATCAGTAAGGGCTGCTTCAATGTTCATGTGTACATCTTCTCTGTCAGTCCTCCACTCAAACTCCCCCCTTTCGATTCGTTCCTGTATCTGGTCCAGACCTTCAAGAATGCTATCCCTGTCGCTGAAACTAATTAATCCCTACATTACGTGCTTATGTTAGAACTAAGAAGAACAAATAGATTTTGATTGAAATTGGGGGTTTCCATCAATCAGAACGTTATTAAGGAATTTCAGTATTCTAGGCAATACAAAGTGTTTCACTATTGTGTCCTTCGTCCATCAATCAGAACGTTAGTAATGTTTTTTTTTATTTTTTCAGAAATGGAAGGAGTAAGTGATACCTGCTTAGCGAGCATGGAAGCGTGAGCACGGCTACCCATAATGTCGTGCTTGTAAAGCGCTTTATCGAAAGATATCGATTCAGTAAACCTCTCGACTGCATCCGTAACTCCTTCCTCGAACCTTCCTCCCCATAGCTTCGCTTCTTTTGGCGGCGCTGCCATGTTCTTCGGTTGTGATGCGCAGCACAGTACTTCCGTCGCGGCCGAACGTCGCTTGTTTAGAGAATCGAATGAGACGGAGAAGATTAGACGATGATCGATTGTTGACGATAAATTAGGGCTTTGGATAGAGAGTGTAGCAGAGGAGGTCGACCGAAAAGGTGAAGGAGCGAACACCATTGATTCCGTTGTGCGGCGGCGACGGTAGTAGGGAATTATCAGGAGCGTCTCAAGTAGAGAAGGAAAGCATGTGATTGTCATTGTGTGATTTGACTAATTGACTTTTTGTTGTTCACCAAAAAATTCCAAAAATGTAAAAAAGATTTCAATTTTTCGATTAAATGGTCTATAGTAGTTTTTTATATATTTTATTTTGATACTGTAAAAACTAAAATGTTAACAAAATTTTTGGCCCCCCTAAAATCGCTTTTTGTAACTACAAAGAAAATTTAATCACGTTCTAAAATGTTTGTCAGTATAATTGAATAACATCTGTTGCAACTAACTACTTTTTTCCATTAGCATACATTCAAATAACAAAGGAATCAGAATATCGACAAAAAAAAAAAAAAAAAACCCTAATATTTGCTCAAAAAAGCTCCTAACAAAACCACAAAAGAAAAAAAGAAAAAGTAAACTTTGACACTGATCTTTCTACCTACTGCTAGGACAAACATCTGGGGACGACTTTCTCTTCTTGATCTTTCAAATCGGATTCAAGATTCATCTTTTGTAGGCTCTCGGAAACTGCAACTTGCTCTTCTTTAACCGATTCAACCGGTGAAGGTGGGCCAGAAGGTTTAACCTGAAGCCCACCGTTTGGACCAGTGGTCTGGACCACCGGTCCAACATTTGAATTACCATGACCCGAGCCCAGGTTAGGCCGTGGTCCATGTGGCGATATGCTAGAATACCGCTCACGTGGGCCCCCCATGCGGGCAACAGGCGGTCTACCGGTTCCATTACCCATTTTGTTGATATGAATGGCACTCTTCAACTGTGCCTTCAAGATTACAGCGGCGGCCGATTGGGTGGCGATGCGGGCCCCGGCGGCAACCGCAGCGGCTTTGACCGCGTCCGGCCCGGAGGCGAGCGGTCTCGGGAACAATCTTTTTGGATCCGGTTGGGACTGATTTTGTCGGAGTGTGGCGGCAGATGGTGGCTCCGCCATCGTGGGTTGCACCGGTTTATTGCCGAAAGTTGTCCCTCCTGTTCACATTAGAAACTAAAGTCAGGATATTTTTAGAATGTGACATTTATTAAGTCGTTACATTTTACAAATTTACCCTCATCTACAAAAGAAAATTGTTATTACCAGGCTTATCAAGAGCCATGTTAAGCGCATGTCGAGCTGCCAGCTGTACCTCCGAAAGCTGTGGGCCCGTTTTCACATTTGAGTTTGTATGACGCTTTTTAATAATGCTCCACCTCTGGTAATAACAATTATTTCATCAATATCAGAATCAGAATAATTAATAGAATTTTTTATAAACTTTAGCATAAAACCATAAGTTAAAGATATATAATTAACCTGAGATAGCTGTGAAGCAGTTCTTTCACCCTTAAAATCTCCTTTTGAAATGTTTGCCCAGTTTCCTTCACCACATCTCTGTACAGCATCAAACAGTGATCTATCCTCTTGTGCAGACCATGGTTTTCTTTTCCTCCTAGATGGGAAGTTGCTGTTTTGACACATGTTTGTAGTATCCAATGTTTCACCAGACAAAACTGGTGGGACCACTTGTGTTGGAACAAAAACCGGAACTGTTATATTAACACCACCCGTTGAACTAGCAAGTTGTGTACTCTCATCTGATGATGGAGGAGGGGTAGATTTGTCTTTTGGTATGTTTATCATCAATGGAGCCTCCATCACCAACCCTTTTTCTATACATGACTCACTTGATGAATCAGAAGCAATGAGTACCTGAAAAAATGCATAACCTTTTTTTTTTTATAAGGGGGACAAAAAAAGAGTAATAAAATTTATGGGTTATTTACGAATTTACCCTTAGGGGGTGTTTGTTTGGTCCTAATTGATAAAATTCGATTTTGTGATTTTGTTTTTACCTTCACATAAGCTGCAGCCTCTGCTGAAGCATCGTTGCTAACAGTTGGGAAAGCTTCAAGTTCATATTCTAGATCACTATCATCATCCTGTGATTGGTATTTTTAATGAATTTAAAAGTTTTGTAATAACAAGATTCGAAAATTTTGAGTTTTTTGCTACCTGATTTGATTAATATTTAATAGTAACAATACAAAAATCACAAACTTTTTTTGAACCATCATACTTGATTTTCTAGTAAAATACAGAATTTCAAAACAAGAGTTTGCAAAAATGATAGACTTACTAATGGCTTAAAATCATCTTCAAACTCTTCAATTAATGGCTCACGATAGGCTAAATGGCGCCATAACATTTGATATTCCCTAGGGTTTGTTATGCCAGTTTTAGTATGCTTCACCATTGCATACCAATCTATCATTACATCCTGAACTTGACCCACTTCCTGAAGCAAATTTAGCACTGTTGTAGTCTTGTACCTTCAATTTCACAACAATCACCAAATAGAAATGAGCATTTATTCAATTACAATGGAACATATGAAGATGCTAAGAATGGTATAAGAAATGAAATTGACGTAATCCATGTAGTAGAAACTCTGTGTGTATTCTCAACAGGATAAACAATTCAGTTCAAAAATTCCGAAATTAGTTAGATGATCAAATCAATGAAACAACTAAAGAACGTTTGTTCATTATTATATACAAACGCGACAAGAAAATTTTGCGGGGGAATTCGTGATTTTTGAATATAACGAAATCCAGAAAGTGGTGATCAAGGAGAGAAACCTTTGGGCGACAGCAGATAGGTCTTCTTCACTGATCGACCCTCCTCTTTTCTCCGACATCATTTCGTCACCCATTGATGATTTCTACGACTGAGACTATGAAGTTTGTACGAATTCCCCTCGCTCAAAGGAATACGAGTGGAAGTAAGCGTAGAGAAAGAAATTTGCATAAACCCCTTTTTTTTTTTGAGAGATAAACCGTATAAACCGGGGGTTTGTTGGTTGGGAAAATCAAATCACGGATTATTGTGATTGGTGTGAGAGTGAATGCTATGAATTCGGAAAAGGATTCTGATAATGAATCAACTTAAAATCATTTGTTTCTGAATATACGAGTGTAATTAAGCGTGGAGAGAAACAAATTGCATAAACCCTTTTCGGAGATAAACCCTAGAAAATGGAGGGTTTTGTTAGTTGGGGAAATCAACTCAGGATGACTGTGATTGACGTTAGAGGGAATGCTATTAATTCAGAAAGATTCTGATTAAGGAATTATTTTCAAATCATTTGTTTGATTTCTCTTTTTTAAATTTTAAAAGCAAAATGAAATGGGATAAAGTAATATATTTTTCGATTTGTACACATTTGGTCACTGAGTTTTTTTTTTATCCACATTTACCCCTTCAACTTGTTAAACTGTATACATTCAGTCCTTATGACCGGCTACTCCAGGTTACCCGGTAAAAATGACTTAATATGGTAATATATTTCTCACTTTGTACACATTTAGTCATTAATATTTTTGTACACATTTAGTCCTTTTTTTTTTTTTTTTTTGCAAAATAAGACATTTTTTTGTACTCATTCAGTACTTATGAATGATTTTTTAGTTTTTTCTCACGAAATCTTACGTGGTACATTCATTAATGAGGTGTATGGGGCTTTTGATGCTTATATCCATCGCGATCTCGACTACTTTGTTGCTTAGGTCATGTGTTCTGAACTTCATAACTTCTTAATATGATCTCGGATTTTAACGATCTTTATATTCATGCATTCGTATTTTAGTCTACTACAACTTTCATTTAGATTACTTCCATTAAAAAATAATATATTTTTTACTTAGAATTTTTATATCCATACGCGGTGGCGGATTTAGTATGGTCCCGGTGTGTTGCACCGACAACACCTGTTTTTTCTGTTCGCAGTGGAAAATTTTTCGCTTTTTTTTTTTTTACATTTATACCTATTTTCCATGTATCGGCAACACCTATTTCATCTCGGCAACACCTACTATGTATTACTGCGTCTTCTCCTGTCCATACGTTTTTTATGAATGCATGTATGTATGTTTTTTTTTATAAAATCGTTAGTAAAAATATATTACATTTTAACGGAAGTAATCTTAATGAAAGTTGTAGTAGACTCAAAAAATGAACACGTGGATAAAGATCCTTAAAATCTGATATCGTATGTTCAAAATACAAGACCTAAGCCAAACCACAAGACTTACGCAACCAAGCAGTCGAGATCGCATTAGACATAAGCATCAACAACCCAAGCACCTCATCAATGATTGTCTCACGTAAGATGTCGTGAAAAAAAACCTAAAGAAATCATTCATAAGTACTGAATGAGTACAAAAAAAATGACTTATTTTGAAACAAAAAAAATGTTAAGGACTAAATATGTACAAAAATATTAAGGACTAAATGTGTACAAAATGAAAAATATATTACCCTATCAAGTTATTTTTCCCGGCTAACCTGGAGTAACAGGTCATAAGGACTGAATGTGTACAGTTTAACAAGTTTAAGGGGTAAATGTGGACGAAAAAAAACTCAGTGACCAAATGTGTATAAATCGAATAATATGTTACCCTTTTAAATCATTATCCCAAATTAAATATTTGTACTACGACTAAACATAAAATCCACAAATTTTTATTAGAGAAATTAAATATTTTTCTACATTTTTTATTTATTTATCTTATTGTCTATATGAAATGGTGACAAATGTCATATTATAATAAAATTATTAGTATTATAATACACTTATCATGATTTCGCATGGATAAAAAGATAAATAAGAAGAAATATAGAAATATATTTAATTGTTCTTATTAATATATAACTTAAACCCCATGTCGGCTTAGCAACAGTAGACAATATTGAGTTGTAGTTTTACTGTTTTAACCGTTGGCTTCCTAGTTTAGTCGTTTGTTGATAAACAGTTTATAGTTTTAGCCAACTTGAATTTAGAGTTGAGTACTTGTCACACCCCCGAACCAGATAGCGGAATCGTCTGGGGCTTGGTGACTTCATCTTGTAATATCATCACAATGTATATAATTGAAACAAGACAACACCATCATCATACATATCCAAATACAACCATCATTGTTTACATCAAGTATAATATCATAGATTACATGCCAGAATATTCAATGTACGATGATAACAAAATACGACAAATTCCACATGTTCTTGTTGACCTTTCCGCTTAACGATTCCCTGAGAATACAAGTTATTTTGAAAATGTCAACATATATAATGTTGGTGAGTTCATAAGCATGTCTAAATGAAAAGTTTTGTATTGTTCGTAAAACACCAGAAAATCCGATATTTTCTGTAAAATGGTTTGAAAGTGATGTATCAAAATCAAGTATTAATGCATGTGTGTTTTCTGTTTTTGGAACGTATATAAAAATGTAATCCGGATAAAAATCATGTATTTTCTGTTGTAAGTAGAAGGTATTGTTTACTGTATGTTTCCCCAGAAAATCCGATATTTTCTGTTTATAAAGGTGTCGTGGTCTCAAAACCCTAAGACCGAATATCAGTGTATGTATGTTTTCGTATCGACAAGATTTTATATGTATTCCGTAAATTTATGATAGAGAGAATCTCTATGTGAGCCCTTTTAACCATACTTGATTATGACGAATTCGCCTGTCGTGGTGTTTTCAGGCGCCGACTTGTTTAAGGTAAGGTTTGTCACCTTAGACTGGCCTAGTCTAACTGTAGCGAACAGCTCAGGTGTGGGGTGTCACCCCGTATAGATCTATACACAAACTCTCGCTCTCCCTCCAGGAGACTCTGGTTATAACTACAGGCTACGATTGTACACTCGAGAGGTGTCAACCGACATGTCTCACTAGATCCTTAACTAAGTTTACGTGAATATTGTATTATGTTATGTATGATGTTTCCGTGTACGTTTTATGATTGAAAAGTCCAACAAGTATGTATGTGAATGTACGAAGCCCAACAAACATGTAAAAGGACAACTAGGGCCCACTAAACATGTAAGTTATTTTCATGCCCAATAAGCATGTAAATGGACCACTAAGGCCCAATAAACATGTAATGTAAGTATTAGGCCCAATAAACATGTAATCGATGTATTTAGTTGGTTTGTTATTACATTGTTTGTTTTAGCTCGATTGTTTTCCAAAATGACATAAAAAGCCCACTTTTTGTAATGATGACAGTTTTAGCCCATTAAGCCGAAAATTTACAATTTAGGCACATTTTTGATAAAATTGACACTTTAGGTCCCTTAAGACCAAAAGTTTACATTTATGGGCTTATTTCAATTAAAATGACATTTTTAGCCCACTTTTGTTAAGAATAACATTTTCGGCCCAATATTATGAAAATTGACATCTTCGGCCCAATTATATAAAAATTGACATTTTCGGCCCAATTTAATAAAAATTGACATTTTCGGCCCAATTTAATAAAAATTGACATTTTCGGCCCAATTTAATAAAAATTGACATTTTCGGCCCAATTTAATAAAATTGGCAATTTCAGCCCTTTTTAACCGAAAAACAACATTTTTGGCTCAAATTTGTTTAAAATGACAATTTAGTCCACAAAAGTCATAATTTTTCCAAATTTGACCCATAAAACCGTGAAGGCCCAATTTAAGCCCATTTTGTGAAAAAATTACTCTTTTGGCCCTTTTTAAAACCATAATATCATAAAGACCCATTTTTATACAAAAATGACTCTTTGGTCCTTGAAAAACCGTAAGTATCATAAAAGCTTCATCTTTTTGTTCATTTGTCAAAAATGGTCCCTTTACAAGATTTTGTTTAGTTTTTCAACATCCTTAACATGTTTAACATTTTCATCTTTATGGTAAGTTGCATAAAGTGTTTTAGTTTACAAATATTGTCAAGATTTGATAGAGTTTTCGAGATTTATGAAGTTTCTTCACATAATCACAACATATAACTTAGAAAACACACATAAACATTCACAAATACATAGATATATCACATAAGCAACTTGTATCCTCCCCCAAAACATAGTAAAACCGAAAACAAGGGGTATGAACTCACATTGCTTTGATGTTTTTGGTTTTTGGTGATGAGATGAGTAGATCTCGACCCTAGCAAGCTTCTTAAGATGGATTTTCGAACTTAGATGGTTCTAAGAAGCATGATTCACGAAAACATGGGTGTAAGAGGAGTGAATGAGTTTAAAGATGAAGTATATCACTTGGGTTTGTAAGATCTTACCACAATGTGAAGCTTGAAGTGATTCTATTGAAGATCTTCCTTACCCACGATTTTCTTGAGAGACGAAGGGTGGAAGAGAGTTGAGAGAATAAGGGTTGAGTTTGAAATGAGAGAGAGAGAGAGAGAGAGAGGTTGGAGAGTGAGAGAGTGGCCGAGAGATAGAGTGAGAGATAAGAGAGAAGTGGGAAGTTGACTTTGGTGGAGAGTGAGTTGATGTTTGTCTTGAATCTTGATACATGCAAACCTTGCATGGATATCCAACAAGTAATTGTGAGGTGTTACTCCATTTCCCTCCCATTTTTTTTTGTTTGGGCCGAGAGAGGGGAAAGAGGGAAGTTGGGCCCTTTCTTGGCTTAGTTTGAAATTATGAGGCCCAAAATAATTATTTTTCGGCCTATTGGGCCTTTATGGAGGTTCACGGCCTAATGAAACCCAAGGATGTAGTTTACGGCCCATTAGGGCTTATGAAACTAGTTATGGCCCATCATGGCCCATTAGAAATAAGATGGATCTTTCTAGGCCCATATGACCCAAAATACTTTACTTTCATGGATGTGGGTCCAATTAGAGCCCAAATAGGGTTCCTAGGCCCAAGGTAGTCAAATTGAAAGTTTATTGGTCCATTAGGCCCAATAAGAGAATCCTAGTCCATAATAAATCTTGAATCGGGATTTTTAGGGTTTTCAATCCATAGTTGAACATATGAGATGTATTGTATTAGGTTTTGAACTTAAATCAAGAGTTTGGATTGATGGTTTCATTTAGCATATAGTATGATATTCACTTAGAGTACAAATCTTACTGTAGTTGATGTTTACATGAAAATAGAATTTCCTAGCTAAAATGCCAGTTGTGACAGTACTTGTCCTCCACCGCCTTCTCCACCAATGCATATATTCCATGCATATGTTCATGTGACTTCATCTCCACTCTCAGATGTCAACGAATCCACCACCGCCTCTTTAAGCTAACAAACGTTGGGCAAAAACCATTCAACCCCCCCCCCCCAATCGGATATGAATATCGCTATGTCTTCGTCTCGCACACCAACTCCTTGTCTTCTTCCATCACCAACCCTAAAAATCTTTTTTTCAAATTTTCGTGTTTATTGAAAACATATCAAACGAGGTTTCTATTTATGAGTTTGTTTTTCAGATGGAGATATGTATAGGGGTAGAGGAATGTACGCAATGTACATATCTAGATAATAAAAGCATATCGACAAGCAATGATACGAAATGCACGTTGTGGAGAAAAAATGTGAGTTTGTATATTTCCAGATAAACCAGTTACATTTACAGTAAGACCCGTAGAAACATGTATTTGCAAATCCATCGTGGGGTGTGGAGAAATATACCCTTTTGTTGCGGTAGGATTAGCCTATCATCATATTGCAAAATGGATTTTGGACACATTAGTAGGCATATTCCATGTTAGCTTCCCCCTGCCGCAACGTCTATACAAAATATTGTGTACGGGCAAAGTTTGTGATGATGAAATTCTCATATTTGGGATAATCGAAAAAAGTCGAGAGTACGATATTGAAAAACGTCATAAAGAAAGAGCATTTTTAGCGGTGTGTTGAAACTAATACCTATTTTTAATAAGACTATTTTTATAAAATAACTGAAAAGCTAGCTGCTAGCTGATAAAAAATAACGTTTATTAAAATTAGTTGAGAGATATAAAATTCTATAATATGGCATGTTAAAGAATGATTAATACAAATATGTAAATACATTTTGGGTTATTAAATTAAAGTAAGTACTAAATAAGATTTTTTTTTTTTTATTATGTATGTTCAAGTTATATTTCTTGAAAGTCATATAGTATTATCATGAATTTCGTACACCCTTTTTCTTTTTCTTATTTCTAGAGGTTTTTAATTAATGAATAATGTTACTCTTTAAATAAACAATTTGATAGATGTTTACTTCAAAATTCATCAATAAATCAATAATATAAAATTTTCTTATGTGGTATGTATTTTTTTTCCGAACGCCAGATGAGCTGGCAATTAATACAAGAAAGAGTAAATAAAAGCTTCATCTTACTACAGATTGTCAATTTCAACCTTGGTCAAAGACCATGCTATATAATAAAGTCAAACCACCCACAAACAACGAAGAATCACATTGCTTTAAATTATGTTAAGAATTATGAATATGACGAATCCAACGCTAAAAATCATCTTTCCTCTTGATCCTAATTATAATTAGCTATAATGTAATGTAAACATCAAGAAATCATTTTCTATACTCAGTTTATGTCAACTGCATATAAATAACCGATTTTAACAGGCTCATGACATGAGATAAACAAAAGGGGAGTAGTTGTAGCAAAAACCCACAAAAATTAGCCCTGGGTTGACCAAAAGTCAACACCATCAGCCATCTTGTTCCTGTATCTGTATGTGCAAAACAGAGACTTTCTAATAGTAGAAAGTATCATTCTTGTAGCTAGCAGCATCCTTGCAGAGCATTGACCTCACTTCAACAATGGATCTTGGTGGCTCAACATCCTTTTCTTCAAGCGTGTTTCCCACCAATTGTTGCATTTGTGATGCAAATGTATCATCCAAAATCTGCATTTCATGATAAAAAAAAAACAAAAAGTGTATGAAAGCTAATTATGTAGATAAACGAAAATTACCAAACTACCCCTAGTATTCACAAAGTTCATGAGAAGGAAAGCCACTTACAGAAACGGCAACTCTTGAACCTTTGTACCATGAACGATTCTCTTTCCTGTTCTCGAGAAAACTCAAAACATCCTGAAACAACACAAAAAGAAACCATTAATACAACACAACTAAAAAAGATTTAATTTTTCATTTATTATTATCACAATCCATTAGAACTCACTTGTCCCATTCGGTCCCAATACCCTCGACATGTTGCAATGAAAACATGAGTCTCAAAGATGTTATAGAGATGATTCATTGTATTTGTAAGCTGCTCTGTTAATGGTTGCATTCTGCATCTAATCTCAGATTCCCCCACACTTTCCTTGGAATCTTGAAGGATTTTCTTCAGTTTTGTACTGTTATGTAATCTTGTCTGTGCACAAGAACAACAAAAATCCAATAAAATCAATAAACTTATTATCTAAGTCCTCATAACACGTTTGTTATGCATGACATGACACTGATGTTATGACATAACAGGTTGTACTGCATTTGGCATACATTGGACTAATGTCAATGAGACAACTTTTTAACCCATTCCCACCAAAAAAGCTCTAACAAAGTGAGACAGGGACTCTCAAATGTGCAAAAGACATAAATGCCCTTTTTAAACTCGATCATCAAGAAAACTTGTCCAGCCCCATGTAAGAAATGTTGTCTATTTAACTAAAAATGAAGCGAATAAAGGAATAGCACCCACATTTTCCAGAAGCTTCTCAGCAACTGCTTGTATATAATTCCGGAATTTTGATCTAAACATCACTGTGACTTCACTTAAACGTTCTCCAGGTGCCACATTTCCCCCATCAGGAATGCAACATGAACCCCATGATTTCAATTGGAGCTCAATTTTAGGACGTAAAACATCTAGCATCCTCTTCATAGAGTTCAAGAGAATCCCAAGCTGAAATCGACAAAAAAAAAAAACTTCAGAGAATAAATCAAGATAAGTATGATAAGATTCGATGAATTTATGATTTATCAGTTTGTGTTATGGTTACTAAATGCAATAATTAACAACATACTATTGCTGATTTCTTTATTATAGCATACTCCTTTCCTTCCTTACTATTATAAAAACTACCAAATAATAGCAATGTCACTAAATAACTTGATAACTTTTTTTGAAATGCAATGTACTAATAAGAAAAGATTTGAAAGTTAATGCCTTCCTTGATAAGAAAAAATAAGACAAACCTCGGGAGGCACCACATAAGGATTTGTGGTTCGTTTAGTGAGCTTTTGGACATATTTCAGCCCAAACTTCTTTGGTGTCATATTTTCTTTCAAAGGTGCAATTACATCTGCATATTGTTTGTCTAAGGCTTCAATTATCGCCTTTTCAATGTCAGCAATCGCCTATTTCATCAAAGACCAAAGTAATAAAAAAGATTCGGTTAGAAGATATCAAATCACAATTTTCTTTCTTTTTCGATTTTGTGGGTCCCACCATCATTTCTTTAGGACATAACAAAGTGTGATGTGTTTGGGATACATTGGACTGATACATAATATAGACAGATGTCAATGGCTTTTTGTCTCACCCAAAAAAGGTGAAACAAGGTGGGACATGGACTTGCTCTCAGTCTCTTGTATGTGCAAAAGACATAAATGCCCTTCTCATCATTATCACCGGAGAACATTTTCTTAGCCCCGTGTAACAAATGCAACCTTATTGCTCAATCTTATTGAATTTGTGATGTAAAAGAAAATGAGCAAAGAGGACATAACATACATTCTCCAAAGCAAAGGTATACTCTGGCCAACGGCTTATAATGACCTCATAATCATTCATAGTCTCTATAAGACGATTATACATCTCATCTATAAATGGAGTTGTTGAATGTTGTGTCCTCACTCCAGACCATTTCACCTGCAAGTTTGAAGTTGTTTTTATAACAAGATATTAGAAAGCTTGCAAATTGGTATGAGTTTCTAAAACAAAACACAAGTATTCAATGATCAAAATACATAAACACATAATTGAAATATATATATATATATATATATATATATATATATATATATATATATATATATAAACTTTGTATAACATAATGAATGTACTTTATGATTGCTCTCTCTGTCTCAAAATAAAAGAGCCTCTTGCTCAAAACAGAATATTACTAAAATATTTTAGCCTCTGATGTATAAATATACAAATTACTAATAACAATATGATATAATAAATGAAAACTGATTTTACCACCAATGGTCAAGAAGAATTATTATTTTGATGAAATTCACGAAAAAGTTTGTGTTTTTTATTATAATATTTGATAAAAAAAACTACATATTTTGAACAAAAGTTTCATATGATTAAGTAGAATAACATTACAAGGACTATATCAATAAATTTTCAAATTGTAATTGATTTTGTATCAAACTTTTAACATAAGAACCATAAAAAGATAGTTTATGTAATTATATCAAAGATATTAATTACTTACAAAATTTGGAAAAACAAAAAAGTTAAAAATTTTAAAAACAAGGTACATACCGTATCCATCTTACAAGTCTCCAGGAGAGACATACGCTTATCTTGAATCCATATCATGATATACAAATGAAACAATTCTTTTGCATCAACCCCATTTTTGACATGACTGAAAAAGAAAAGATTGAATTAATGTCTGCAAAATCAAAACAATTAACAAGAATGAAATTTGGGAAAACATTACTTGATATTCCAAGAAGCAAGATCTTTCTGGAAATCTGCAGTTGCAATTACAAGCTCTGCAACATGAAGAGAAGGACCCGTTGGAGGGCATGCAACAAGAAAGGCTCTTAATCTGCTTGCGAGTTCTGCACTGTATATTGCTGTTGAAAGATTTGGTAGGTCTATAAAACTGCAAAACAGGGTCATAAATGACAATTTTACCCTTTTCACAAGATCATATGGATATAAGAGGAACAGGGTTAAGAGAAAAAGCACCTTGGAAGTATATTGCTATTTTGGATCTCGATGTCTGTAAAAATCTCCTTCTTTATGTTCATACAAAGAGATTTCATTTTCTGATAAGCTGTAGAAACAGCAACAGAATCCATCAAATTGCCTTCACCAATTCCACTCACATATTCATCGGTTACAGTCAAGTGTCTTCTAGATCTTTTCTTCGCAGCAGCCTAACAATCATACCAATTTTAGCTCAAATGGACAACTATATGTCAAATACCTAAAATACCCTCCAAAGGGTTTACTTTACATAACAATTGTTATGATGAAAAAAAAGATGTTAAGAAGCATGTGAAACAACAAACCTGGAAGTAGCTATATAGTTTATTCTGTGCCTCAGGAGACAATATATCATGAAGAAGTTTATAAAGTTTCACAGCAGGTTCCAACACGGGTGCTGCCACCCCAGTGGCAGGGGTAAAAACGTCCATAATGCCAGATGGAGATTGCTCGTTTAGTGACTTGTAGTTCTCGAAAACAAGAGCAAGAATCTGCTCTATTTGCTCATCAATCTCTCCTAATATTCTATTCTGGTAAATTAAACGACTTTGTTATTTAAAAATCAATCGAATCCACTAACATTCCTAATTAGATTTACACAAGATGAAAATCAAACAAGTTTGCCTTACAATACAAAAAGTATACAACATTAGTTATTTATATTGGGGGTGTTTGGATGTGCATAAGTGATTTTTAAAGCCTAAAGACTAATAATCATAATCAATTTTTTTGCCAAACACTCCGTATATCAATAATTGGGGTAAATGCAAGAAATTAGCAATGTACATCCATGTATGTGAGTTATAGTGTCCCACTTTCATTTATTTCTAGTGCAACATTTTTTTCTTATGAGATCATTGTACTTTGAAAAATCTACCAAATTATAGCATTGTACTTTCAAATTTTATTCTTATTAGGACATTATACTTTGAAAAATCCACCCAATTATAATGAATAATGATGAAACTTGCTTTGTATTAGGATGACATGGCTATAATTGGACATTTTTTTTAAGTATAATGTTGAAATAAGAAGAAATGAAAGTATGTTACTCTTTTTTAACGTTTGAAGTTTAAAGCTAACCTCTTGATGGCTAAGGGCACTCTTGGTATTTCCCTTCATCATAACTGGTAACAATAAGTCATAGACAAGTGAGACACAATCAGCTGTTGGGGTAGCAACATCCATTACGTATGAAAGGTATCTGAAAACATTTCTCTAAAAGGTTAGAAATCATATATTTAGATGTTTTTTTTTTAATATTATGATGAGAATATCGAACCTTAGCTTTGTGTAAGCATCAGAAACACCATAATATGATGCGAATTCAATGAGCAACCATTGCCATGAACCATGCAAAAGTAAATTTCTTTGTTGGAAGTTTTGAACTTTCATGGCAACCTCCAAAACAATGTCGTATGCCACCGTTTCAGCAACAGAACCACACTGTCAAACAACAAGAATTCTTGGTTAAAAGACGTAAATGCCCTCCTCATCCTGTGTAACAACTAACAAATGCAGCCTAACTAACATATAATAAGGGGAAAAGAGCCAACAATTCACCTTGAGACTATCGTCCAAACTTGTTGTATAATTTATATAAAGTTGGATTTTTCCAACAATCTCATGCTCTGGTTCTCGGTATATAGACCACCACCTTAGTTTGTCATGCTGTCATATATTATATATAAATATAAACTTTCAAAACATAAAATTTGCTAAAAGTTGTAACATACATGATACATCATACATCATACATCCACTTCATTTCTAGTTTGGTCATTGAAAGTGTTTTTGAAAGTTGGATTGTTTTGATGTGAATTTAAAAGTCTATTGACCAAATTAGAAATGAAATGAAAGTTCATTGCTACTTACTGGATCTTCTTCTGAAATAGTAGCCACTTGCACTAGGACACGACCATAATGGTTACCCTTAGAATCATTCACTTCTAGAGTCAAGTCATCTCCAAGACTATCTGGCAAGCTGTAATCTCATTGGTCAGTAAGTATGATTTCAATCAATCACAAATAGAATCATTGGTAAAAAAAAAAGATAAAAGAAAACATACAATATATGGGTTTCACTAGAACCAGGCTGCATTCGAATCGTATCCATTTCATCTGAACTTTTAAGTCTTAGCAAACATGAGTATGTTTCTGTCCACATGTAACAAAAAATTAAAACCATGTTCAAAAAAGATTATTTATTAAAAAAGTTACGACTTAATGAAGAAGGAATCATTTCCATGACGTTCTCTATTAAGCCGTTTTGTCTATATTAAGGGGTTGTTTGTTTCTTTTTTTTTTTTCGTCATTAATTGTTGTATGGGTAAAGTGCTATTGCATTATAAACAAAGCTTGTTTCTTTTTTGGACTCAATGAAGAGCCGGAATATGAAACAATATCATTTTACCCTTTTGTCTGTAAGTGATGTCCAGTTGAAATCTTTATTTCTTACTACATAAGTGTCGTCAACAATAATCCTTATAACTTGTTTTTATTAATTATCTTTTAGCAAAAGATAGATAACAATACTAAAAGAAACAAGAAAAAAAAAGGAAAAGGAAAGGAAAGTTTGTCTAAACGGTAGCAATGTAAATAAAGATGTCTTAATAGATAAAGACACCATTAAGTCAAAAAGAAACACTCATATTATATATAGCCTACCCCATTAAGTCAAAAAGAAAAGAATCCACAAACCTTGTAGAACTTCTTTGGTAGATGAAGTGCTGCGTAGACTTGAGACACCGTTTTTTAAAAGACCCGAAACTTGTTTTATATATTGAGTGCTTGCTTTCATATAAGCCAAGCTTTTGGCTAGAAAGAGAATTGTCTACAGGTACTTGAGGGGAAAAAGGAATTCTTCTCACAGCTTTCCACCCTGATGAAATCTTGGATTTCACATTGAAAACATGTCGTTTAACAGTTTCTAATTTGATTTTTGGTGGTTCTATTGATGAAAAGTTGCATCCTGTAGGTGGATCCAAGGCCATTCTCACTTTTCGAACTGCACCCGTAAACAAATTGTTATTTAATTTATAATTTTATATTTTCAATGAAAAGGATCAGGATGAGGAGGGCATTTGTGTCTTTTTGCATAGACGAGAGATCGAGAGGGAATTTTTTTGTCATATTGACATTAGTGATTAGTCCTAGTCCAATGCATGCTAAATACAGTGTTGTGTTGACTAAAAGTCAATAATACCTTGCACCTTCATCTTCCCAACCATTTTCTTTGGTTTTGTTGCAGCTCCTTTGCTAGCAACTTCTGATTCTGAAGAGTGTTTTAGATGCAGTTCTTCCTCTGATTGTAGTAATGTTTGTTGCAAACTATACCAAAATCAACCAAAAAGTAGAAAAAAGATGACTATATTGTTTTTAAAGTTAAAAAAGATCTGGATTTCTGTCTTGACTCAAAAGTATATAAAACTGAAGGTGATGTTTCGTATGATGGAATCAAGAAAGAACGGAATAGTTAGTAAATGAAGAAAAAATAACTATCTGTTTTGTTCATTTTAATTTTTTAAAGTCCATCCTGGAATGGAATGAACGCAATACAACCCATTTTTATTCATATAATTTCTTCTGTTAAAAATTTCATGATTTTGATCAAATTACAATTCTATTTCAAAGAATAGCTAGAAAAAATATATTTTTATTATAATCTTATTTGGCTTTTAATGAGCCTTTATTAAGTTTGCTTTTTTTATTCTGTAGATACAAATTTTATTAGCAATAACTATACATATATAAAAAAAATCATATGATCTACAGGAATAAAACTCACCCAAATGTGCTTCTTAATAAAGCACATTCATTTTCCAAAAACATAACTGCCTCTGAACAACCCTTGGCCCATGCATGTAGGCAAAGCCGAACACATGCATCATATGCAACCACAGAATGCCAAGGCCCAAGTGAGCTGATTCAAAATTTTTTTAAAAAAAATAAATAAATAAATAAATAAGCTCAAAGGGTATATGATAAACCATTAAAGCTTACAACTTTTAATCTTTAAATATGAAATGTACCTTGCATGAAATGTGGGAAGTCGAGCAGGAATTGATCCTGAAGATGCACCACCTTCACCACAAACATTATTGCTACAAAGAATAAACATGTCTTATATTATAATACATAAATTAAGTGCAACTAACAATTACCTATCTTTTTTTATGGGGGAAAATAACTGAAGGGTATAAACAAACCTATTAGATTGTTTTGAAATCTCGTCTCTTAATGGCATATGATTCGTTTCAGAATGTTGGAATTGTTCTTGTTTGATTTCTTCAACTGGGCCCACAAATGGAGGTGCACTAGGAATATCTTCATCAAATGCCTTGTGATCCTGAATGTTTTGAGCACCCAACTCCTGCAAAAATGTTGACCTTTATAAGTAATCACACATATATACACATCTAACTAAAATGAAAGCGAAAGTAGAATTGTACCTTTCTTGAGGTAACATTTTCATTGGCTTGTGACACATAACAAGTATAAACATCTTTTTTGACTTGTGTAGTTGACAACTCTGAGCTACCTCTTGAATCATCATCATCCGATTCATCTTCAGTATAAACACTATTTCTAACATGGCATTGGTTTTTCTCAATTCCTTTAAATCTATCAACCACATTCCCTTTTCCTCTACTTCCCATTGTTTCAACACAAGAACTCACATCACTAGAGTACACATGATACTGTGGGCGCATCTGTAGAGGATCATGGTACCTACTACTAGGAGGAACTATATCATCCGGGTGAGAGGAATCTAGTGAGTATCGTCCACCATACACCTCACCTTCTGAATCTGTTGACATGTCATTTTCAGAAGCTGAATCTGTATCTTCCCCGGGCAGGACTTGAGATATTGGAACAATCCCGGGCAGATGCCCGCTTCTGAATTTTGAAGGTGGGGGCAGCCCGAACCCTCTGCCCATGTTTCGTGAGGAAATGGGGTTGATTTGAGGTTGTTGATTTGACATAAAGTAAGGAACTTCCTTCTTGATATTATTTGACCCCTGGATTTTGTAATTCAAACATAAGAAATCATAATTGTCATCAAAAGCCCAATACCAATAGTGAAGAAAAAACAAGTCGAGTGATTATTCATAGTACAAAATTAGGGTTTTTCTTGTTCAAGATACATGATTCAGAATGGACAAGCATAATGACAAAGTTTGAGTGATTATACTGATGGATTGCAAGATGAGGTTGAAATATTCGAGATATATATAACCAGTAATTAAAAGATAACAGTACGTAAGCAAATCCAGTAACTCCATTCAAAATTAATAAACAAAAAACGTATAATTGTAATCTAAAATCACTGAAAACAAGAATGCCGGATGCAGATCGGGTAAAGAAGCTTAATTTCAACTGTACAGAAATTAAACTAACGAATATAGAACAATGCAAGTGAATCATACAAAACACAGATGAAAAATCAATATCTAATCTACAAATTTCGACAATTGCGATTTTGGGGATATGAAAAACTAACCTCTTTTACCCATCTAACAGCATTGTTGTCTAACCCTTCGGTAAACATTATTGCTTCCTTTTAGGGTTCTCTTCTTTAGAAATCACATCCAGCCTCCGCAACTGCAGCGAAATTCGAAAAGGGGGGGAATCAAGAACATGAAAATTTTATAAACTCTGAAGAGAAAACATGAAACTTGTAAAATGCACGTGGTAAGTTGCGTATTGAAGTTTAAGTTACGGGTTTTGAGTGGGGTTTTTTGCTGCTGGAAACAACGAAGTACATAATGTGGAAAAAGGCAATCTTTTGATTGAGAGAGATAGATGATGGATCTGATCAAAGTGGGAAAATAAATTAAAATGCTTTCTTTCTCTCTTTTTAGCTGCTGAAGAATGATGTTTCAGGGGATGAATTTGCTTCTTGTTCTGTTACTCTTCCCTCTTTAAAACACACACAACAACCATAGATAGAGAGAGAAATGCATTATTTATGTAGACTAAAATAGTTTTTTAAGAACGTATATTCATAAAAAATTCTTTTTTATCGATTCATATAGCAGAATAAGCTTTTGATGTTAGCCATTTTGTAAATTTATACTTGATCCTTATTATTATATAAAATAATTTATATATTTTATAAAGTTATGTAATTGTAGGAAAAAAAATGTTAGTTATTCTATAGACGATAATTTTAATGCCTCTATCTTATATGATTATATCTTATCACGAATAAATAAAATAAAGATTTTGATTATACCTAATGCAATATATTTTTCATATCATACAAGAAAAATAGATAGATATTTAAATGTTAATAAACTAATTAAATATTTAAAAGATTTGCATATAAAAGTAAACACAAAGTCTATTGATAGTATGATACGAAGCTTATGTTAATTGTTTAAAGTAGTTATTTATTAAATTTAATTTTGAAAATAGAATGAATTGCCAAATAAATTATTAAATTAAAAGATATGTTTTATTATTTACAAAATCACTTTATAGCAGAAAACACATTTGGGACTACTTTAATGATTTCGAAATCTTAAACCAGATAAAAATTAAGTTTTATGATATATTGCTAATATTTAATGTAGTATTTTATTTATTTTATGTGAAATATATAAAATATATAAATAAAGTTGCTTCGGGCGGAAGGTAGACAGTAAAACAGAGGGGCAGAACGACGACGTTGTAAGGAGTAGAAAGTAGAAACAGAAAGAGAGATTGAAGTGGGACGTGGATGAAGTGGTCCGACGTGGCGACGGGTAAGTGGCCGAGGTTTAAGCAAATAAATATTTTTATTATTATTATTATTATTATTATTAAAAGGAGGCGTGGAACGTTACTAGAGTGGAAACACATTGACTCCGTCAGCCGACTCATGCATCCCGCTTATTTTAATTAAAAGAGTAAGTTACAGTTTTGGTCCCTGTGGTTTGTTCAATCTGTATTTTTAGTTCAAATTTTGATTTTTTGACATGGATAAGACATGTGGTTTTTTTAAAAGTTTGACACTGTTATCGTCTAATTACTTCCCTTAAATACGCACAGTGCTAAAAAAACCCCAAGGGAGTTTTTATTACTTAGTTTCTATTAAATATGGGTAATATTAAAGATGAATCGTTAGATCAAAATTAAGTCATTAAGAGTATAATCGTCATCTTACCAATTTCATTTATTATTTAATTTTGAAAATATTAAGAAAAATGTTTAAAATTAACATAATAAATCAAATTTTTGGATTTCTTTATAAAAATAATAATTTTCAAATTTTTTAAAAAAAATGCAGATTTTTTTTATAAAACATGAATTAAAAAAAATGGAAAAACTAAAAAAAACTGCAATCTTTTTAAAAATGGAAAAAAAAAACTGGAATATTAAGAAAAAAAAACTATAACTTTTTAACCAAAAAAGTTTAACGTTTTAGGTGAAAATATAATGATTTCTTATACTATAATATTCGTAAGTAAATTATAAAAAATATCTTTTTTATTACTAATCTATCAACACAATAGTACAAGTATTTATTCAATAGAAAATAAAATATAAAAAACAAAAAATGCTACAAAATTTCAAAACGTTTTTATGTTTTCATATCAAGATTTTCATATTTTATTCGGTTTATCATTTTCACATCTTCAATATTTTCCACAAATTCTTCCAAATCTACAAGAAAATTATATATATATATATATATATATATATATATATATATATATATATATATATATTGATTAATACAAAAACACACACAAAAATACATATGTATATATCATGTAAGATTCACATGTGATTACATTATGTAAGTTCACATGTGATTATGTCACACCCTCGGCCAAGGCGGCGGAACACTTTGGGTTGTGCGATTAAGTTCATGGATCACATGCAATTGGATATATAGTACAAGTACATCAATAAAAAAAAATAGCATTTGTGTTCCATCTTGATATTTAAATACAATTTTTTTACAGATAATAGTAGTACATGAATTTCCTTAACAGATAGGCAGAGAATACAACAGCTAGTAAACTATGTCACTTGTAATCCAATCCGTCTTGAATGTTTGTTTAGTGACTTCCTGAGAATACATGTAGTTTTGAGGGTCAACACAAGGTTGGTAAAAGCTACAAGTTTTCTGCTAACATCAGTAATACTTTTAAAAAGTCTAAAAAATATTTTCTTTGTAAGTATAACAATACTTAAAATTGCTTTTGTAAAGAGTCTTTGAAAGCCAAAATGTATCTTTGTATAAGTAAATCTATACTTAAAACTGTGTTTGTAAGAATTCTTGAATATACTTGAAAACCAAATTGTACTGTTCCATAAGTAAATTCATACTTAAAATAGTTTTGAAAGCAACCAAGCACATGGTTTGTAGTGGTTCAACACATCCCTATTTATCCTCATCGAGCCTTCAACTCTAAGGGGGAGTGTTAGTGTATTCCACATCGGAGTGACACAGTTTATATATGTTGGAGTCTCTTTATCTCCATAAGGGCTCTTTTGGAGAATATTATGGGGCTACACACACACACATATATATATATATATATATATATATATATATATATATATATATATAGTGTTGGAATTGTCTTTGTGGTTATTAGTTTTGGGGTTAAATTAGTAATCATGTTATTTGTACCTCTTGGTAGAGTTTCAGTTCCCAAACCCATATCTACTCCAAAGTTGAACATAAACTCATGAGCCTACCAATTCACCATGAAATTCCAACCAAGTAGCTTCCGTTCCCTCGACTAGAGCGCCATCATAGCAACTCCCTGTATTGTGATAAATCAAATTATTGGAACAAAGAGTGTATAAGAAACATTATAAATGAGACTAGTGCTTGAAAAAGCAAGAGAACTCGCATAAACGTAGAATTTTGGACATGTTGATAACACTTCTAGTTTTTTATTCCAAATCTATATCATTTGGCATAGATTCTGATCTACGTAGTGGTGCTTGTGGGTGCCTATCCTGCATGTAAGGATAACCACATTACAGTCAAATGAAAATGATAAAATGTTCATATCAAATGCCAAATATCAATCTTTTTATCATAACAGTCGAGAGAGAGAGAGAGAGGGAGAGTGAGTGAGAGAGAGAGAGAGAGAGAGAAAGGCACTGCCATTTTTAGCCAAGATGCATCTAAGGGACCAAATATCAATCTTTTTATCATATAAAACCCCCAAGAACTTAGTTAAGTGGCACTTTTGGGGGTTTTGGCACTTTTGGTCCATTTTATGGGTGATCTTGGTGTTGAGTGGACTCCAACATCTTTTTATCATATAAGAATGCTTCTTGGATCTCATAGACTTGGAAAGTTGTGATCTTTTTCCTTCCCTTATATCCATGCAATTTATATTGGTCCTTTAGGTCATTTTGATGTATTAAAGTTTAGATCTTGGAAGCTTGAGACATTGTTATGGATAAAGTTGGAAACTTTATCCATCTAAACATCATGTTGATTTAGATCTAAAGGTTGGTGACTCTGACTTAGTGAATTAAGTTAAGAAGGATGCATTTTTAGGTCCCTTTGAGACTTAAAGTCTACATCTTGGTGATTTGGACCCTCCTAATAGATAAAGTTAGAAACTTTATTGACCTTGGAAAGGATCAGATTTAAGCTTTTGAGCTCTTGAAATCGGAATAAAATGGATTAAGCTTGTTGAGTTGTTCAGGCCATTTCCCACAGCGTGGTCTTAGGCTGCCTCGACGTGGCGATTGGGGAATCATCGACTATTTTGGCATTTTGTGCCCACGATGTGGAGGGCTGTTGTGGGCAGTTTTGACCTTAGTGTTGACCGTTGACTTTTTGATCAGTTTGACATTTGGTCAAACTTCGGTAGAATTAAGTATTTGACTAAGGATTGGTTTCAGTTTGGTTTTAGGAAGCTTGGGTTAGCTGTTCTGTTGTTGAGGTGACAATTAAGCTTCTGATGAGTAGTTCAGGTGAGTCTTCCTCACCGTACTCTTGGGTCGAAGGCACCAATGTCGGCCCACTAAGTTATGTATCCTGGTATATAGGATAATGTTATGTTGGTTATATGTTAGACTGGTGGATCTGTATGATTACTAGTATTCAATGGTGATATGTTGGACTGGTATATCTATATGATTACCTGTACTTGTTGGCTATTGGTTATCGTTGCATATGTCTACATGTTATTGTTTTGTTAGGTTGAGGCGATCCTACTTTATGCTGAAGGACAAGATACCCAGACGGTCTATTTGATATTGTTGACACAAGGGAGCGGTACAACTTATGATGTAGGCTCGGGAGCGGTCCAGCTTATGATGTAGGCTCGGGAGCGGTCTCGGTGGAAGTACAGCCTAGTGCTGTAGGCATGGTTGCGTGCATTGTATTATGTTGCTGTGTAGGGTACTTTGGGGGAACTCACTAAGCTTTGACTTACAATTTGATTTCATGGTTTCAGGTACATCAGATGATCGGGTCAAGGCGGATGAGTGATTGTGCACATCGTCCTTGGATATTTTGTTGATTGGTGATTTTGGGATACTCTGATTTCGACTATATTCTTGAAAATAATGTTTTTGTATGGT